GAGTAGTGTTACCTGTCAAACCTTGTGGGTTTTCTCTGGGTCCTCTCACTGCTAAAGACCCCTACGTGCAAGCAAATTATTGAAATAAAATTTAACCATTTGTTAGTCCCAAAATGACCTAGTTTGTGTCAAGTGGAGGACCCAGAGAAAACTGACAGGTGACCCGACTCTTTGTCACATACAACACAACCGGGGAATCAAAATCACACCAGTTGATTCAATGACAGACCTTATGATACTGCACACACTTGCTATCCAACGGCCCCCCAAACAATTTAGAAGCAGCTATTTGTACTGCTGTAACACACTATAAGTTGAGTAGAACAAAACATCCATAAATTAAACATTTAAAACACTAAAAAGGTTTTGGACCACAGCAGCAGCTTTTTGTACTGATGTAATACAAGATAAGTTGAGTTCTGTTTTGTTTTTTGTTTTCTTGACAAGTTGAAGACTGAACAAGGTAATATGATATTTTGTAGATTTAAAGATAAAATCATCTCAGGTAAACAACTCGTTAGTTCAGTTGAGTGATGCTAATTAAAGGTGTTGATACTACGCTTATTTTACCTGCTGAAATATGAAAAAGAAATGAAAATAGAATATGGGGTTGACAAGTAAGATAAACTACTGCCTTTTTAAACTACAGTATTTTTATAAACCTTGAACCAGACAGCAAGACCTTGTTACTGTATAGGCTTACTATCATGTTTGAAACCAATTCTCTTTCACTCTTTTCTTTTGTCGGAAGGAAATATGTGGTGTCCTGTGTATTGATTGTATATCTGGGACACCAAGATTGTTCTCCCCTGTGGTGTCTGGAGTTTATATATACTTCCTAGCTACTGACAAGGGGGTGGGGGGGGAATTCCCTTTGACTTTCTTGGTATGAGTATATGAATTCCTGTCACACTTACAACTAATTAATGCCACTGATTGTCTTCTACAATTTTTTACAATATTCCATTGATCCACACTAAGTTGTACTCAGATTGATTATTTAACAAAACCAAACTGAAATATCAATACCGGTAATAGATAATCTCCCAGTTTGGTTTCAGTCGGATTAAAAAGGGAGTCTCATAAAAATTTACCTAACATTGATATTTTATTTTGCTCGATTGCTTTGTTTTCATCCTCTTTGTTTAAATCTTGAATAAAATTGAACCAGTTTTACTGATATTCGTTTTGGATATTAAACTTCTACATTATTGTAGTTTTACCAGGGATTTAAAATCCCCCAAATGACAATCAGTTCATTTAATTTTTTTTAATAGTAAAATACAAGGCATATAATTGGTAAAATACAAAGGGTAAAATACAAAGACGGTACTATTGGTAAAATAGAAAGGGTAAAATACAACAAGGGTATTATTGGTAAAATACAAGGGGTACTCTTGGTAAAATACAACAAGGGTACTATTGGTGAAATACAGAGGGGGTACTATTGGTAAAATAGAAAGGGTAAAATACAAGGGTATTATTGGTAAAATACAAGGGGTACTATTGGTGTATTACAGAGAGGGTACTATTGGTGAAATACAGAAGGGGTACTATTGGTAAAATAGAAAGGGGTAGTATTGGTAAAATAGAATGGGTAAATACAGTGGGGTATATACTATTGGTAAAATTATAAAGTGTACCATCACATGTACATAACCTGCAATATAAATTATATACCATGCTATAGTTATAGATACATTACTATAGACTATAAAGTGAAAGTTGGCATGTAAACTGTTTATAATTCTATCAACACTAACAGGTATTACAGCTGATCAGGATCACTGGTATAGGATTAGATATACTTTATACAGGTTTATGTCTGGCCACTAGTATAGGATTTAACAGGTATTAAATGATTTATAACACAGTGATGATGTAATTGCCAGGATTTAAACAGGTAAAGGTGTGTAGTATAAACTGTTACTGATGTAGTATGTAAGAGCTCAATCTGTCAATTGCAGGTCTTTCTTTTGGCTTCAAATGTTATATAAATTATTAATTAGACATTAATTAACTTATCCAGACCATAATCAACTCTCGATGCCATCTGATGGGTCTGATTTTCATTAGATTTGAACTATTATTTAGACATTTAGTGGTACTGACATGACAAGAACATAATCAACTGGATTACTTAGATATGGAGTTGATTAGACAATGTCCGCCATTTTTTTTAAATGTTAAAATCCTCGTAATATAAAACAAACAGTGCCTACAAAAAGATTTATAATTTGTAGGTAAATCTGTAGGGGTTGGGATAGCCTATAGTGGTCTTAAGAGTCACGCTTAGATCTCTAGCTGGCAGATCTCTAGCTTGTGAAGACAAGTAAAACGAAATTTTGAACTATAAAAAACAAAACAAAATAGGATCTGTGTTTTAATCAGATTTAAAATACAGATGTGACGTCATCCTTTGATGCTGGATTACCATTATTTCAAATAATCATACGGGCAATGTGTGCCAAGTGTAACTAGTTAAAATATTGAACCTGAGTGACGTACATGTATTTCATTGCAAAGCATGTGAAAGTGTCTGTATTTTAAGTTGTTTAATGGCCTCGATCTTAAGACATTGCGTAATATTTTGTAAAAACACTCGGGCCTCATGGCCCTCTTGTTGTTACAATATATTACTTGATGTCTTGCTCTTGACCATTAAGCAATACTGAACCTACATCTATCTGCGTAAAACTTGTACAGAAACAATGAAGGAAGCTTGAATTAACGTGCCTTGTTCAAATTTGATTTGTGTTTAATTCTCAACCGTTAGAATCTTGGATATCTATGTGCTATGAAGGAAATTTTGCCCGGACAGCGGCACTATGGCCTACTCTTATATCAAATTCCAACTCTCAAGGGATCTTTTACGTGTACATATGTACACGTAAAAGATCCCTTGGCAGTTGTACACGTAAAAGATCCCTTGGCAGTTGTACACATAAAAGATCCCTTGGCAGTTGGAATTCGATATAAGAGTAGGCCATAGTGCCACTGCCCGGGCAAAATTTCCCTCATAGGACATTGTATGGTGTATGCCCGTCTTTATTAATCCAGTTCGGTGCAGAACAGTAGGATGTTACACCCCCCCCCCCCCCACATTTCATTTCATTTCTTTTTCATTTCTGTTTTCTATGTCTTTTATGAAAAATTTGCAATTGAAACTACGAGTAAAATGTGTTTTTTTACGTTGGATTAAGACGTAAACCAGGTTTAATGAAGTAAATCAGTGTAATACGATTGTGTGAAATGACGCGTAAACGGTCGGATAAATTCGTTCAACTGTTTGATTTGATTTACATGCCTGGATGATCAAAGATATATTAGTATTAGTTCAGACTAGGTCTTCAGATCTTTTTTTACAATTTCTATTTTTGAAGGCGCTCTAAATCAAAAACTTGGTCGGCCTTTTATATCTTTTTCCAGGTATCTCAGTACAGTCATATTAAAATAACTATAGACTACTGTCAATTGATGGGGGGTTGGATGGCCGCGCGCGCTGTATCATACAGCCTGTCATTGAGTCACACTCAACTGGCGTGGTTTCGAATCCCTGGCTGTACGTGACAAGGAGTAGGGTCGCCTGTCCAACCTCGTGGGGTTTCTCCGGGTCCCCAGGTTTCCTCCCACTGCTAAAGACCCCTACGCGCAAGCGAATTATTGAAATAAAATTAAACCATATGTTAGTCCCGAAATGACCTAGTTTGTGTCGAGTGGAGGTTAAAACCCATTTTTTTCTCTCTCTCTCTCTCTCTCTCTCTCACTGTAATTGATGTAAAAACTGATTTGTTGTTGATTTCATTGGATTTTTTTAAGGCTTTATTTGATTGTGAGTTATATGATGATATGCATATTCCTGAAGCAATGACCCGAGAAATCCCTGTCTGGCCATTACTGGATTGGCTTCTGATACTTGAGCTTTTGCGGGAGTGTGTCTATTCTTCCCATTCAATCAAATCTATCCCAAGTACATCAATGTGACAGCCCTTCATTTAATCTGGGGTCTTCCCTAAAACTTTGGACAGTGATTTAAGGTATAAAAAACGGCGAAATTATTGTTCGTCTCCAAACAATATTGTTTACATTGTAACTGTTGATAGTCTCGTTTGTCATGCAATTAGTTTTTCTGCAATATTCTGCTATGCACTGGTTAATTGTGCATAATAAAATCGTGAGTCATGACGTAACATTGTGTAAACATATTTGGTCCAATTTGGAGTTCTGTTTTAAGTGTAATGCTTTTGTAGCGCAGTTAGCTACATGTACATGTATTGGTTGTTAATCAGACCATTGACCAGTCATAATTTGGAACAGAAATTTGCTTTGGTTAAAGCTGTGTTTAGTGGGATTAACTCTAATCAAACGAAACACTACGAGGTGTATGGATGATCTTGTGGTTTTGTTGTTCCACTGTTGACACATGTCAGCTAACAAATTAGTAAACAAGCCAACTTAATTATGTTTCTTTTGAGACACAATTTTATACATACAAAGCCCTGTCCCGTCACTTGTCAAAATAACAGATCATCCCAAATTTAATGCTTTATTTTCTGAAATCAAAGAGTTTTTAAATCCTTTCATAAATGTTTATTATATAATAATGCTCCAATGTTCAGATATATTTTTTATATTTTAGATTAATTTCCCTAGTCTACAATACTTGACATTTTATTATAATCACAGCTTTATTTCAAGAATTTGCTTGAATGTAGGGGTCTTCAGCAGTAGGGGAGGAAACCAGAAGACCCAGAGAAAACACTAAGTTTGGACAGACGACCCTATTCCTTGTTACATACAACCGGGACTTGAAACCCTGCCAGTTGACTCAATGACAGACTTTACGATCGAACACTCATGCATTAACCATTCAGCCACCCGACCCCCCTCACATGAACCCAGACACAATCAAATTGACTATGTTTTATTCATAGAGATATCTTGGGCTAAGATTATTCTGTAACATTTTTTAATTGAAATTCCCTTTTTTTTTCTTCCAGATTTTAAATAGAAGATGAAGATGACAAATAGAGACGGGTAAATATCGCACAGGAGGAGAAAAATATTAAGTCATTTATGAAATCGCTCAAGTCTACTTCTATGATTCTATGAAAATATTTGTGTCTGGATAATAATTATAGGCTACATGTAGTCTCTATCGATCAAGTTTGATGCCTAATCAATTCATACCATGGAGTTACAGCGTTTTACGGACGTTACGCAAACGAAGATATTTTCTTGCGTTGTTCAGCGTTTTTGTGGTCATGATCCAGTTACTTGATGTTGCGCCCCCTAGTGGAGAAAACTTTTACTTAACGCCAAACGGCAAAACTCAACGAGATTCGAAAGCAGCTTATTTGTATACATTCCCGTCCTGGTTGGATAATAAAGATTCAGCCAATCACCACAGTCGACACATTCAGGGATTTTACCGAGGAATTCTGGGAAAATTTGAATCTTACCTACCAGATAAAATGGAGTCTGTGAAAATAAATTTGAAACATAAAACAAATAAATTGTGCACAATGAATAATTGTATGGAGCATCATCAACTTTCAACCAATCACAAAACAGAAATAGATTTAAACGTAGCCAGTCAGATTGGTTCTGATAATTCTGTGTCTGAGGTAACTCCGCCTTCTGTGTATATTCCGTCACAGTTTTCACTAGTTCAAGATGGCGCCGCGGGCGGTGCTAGTTTCTACGAACGTTATTATCAGAATCACGCGAAATCCAAGACAGAGTTGAAACTGCTAGAGAATCATGGATTTTTACAGTTCTCGTACAATGTTACGGCCAGTGATCTCATCCCTATCAACAGACGTGTTGAAGATTCACGACCACACAGGTATGATTATTTTACGTTTTTATAGTCTCTGATCGCTATTCCAGTTTTTCGAACAATATTTAACTTTGCAGAGCTTATAATCCATTATATTTAAACATACATTATGCAAGAGCTAAATCTGCCAGTTGCAGGTCTTTCTTTAGGCCTGAAATGTTATCTAAACTAGACATTAATTAACTTATCCAGACCATAATCAACTCTCGATTTTAAGTACATGTAGATTAGAACAGTTTGGCCATTTAATGATTTAATTTAATTTAAAAATAGAGAAGCGAGGCAAAGACTCAAATGACCAGTACGTTCGTGGTGGAGTGTCATGTACATGTAGGCATGGCTGTTAGCAAAAGGGATATGTTAGGGTTGGGGTTAGGTATGGCTGTGGAACAGGGATATGCTAGGGTTGGAGTTTGGTATAGCTGTGAGAAAAAGGGATATGTTAGGGTTAGGGTTGGTTATAGTAGTCAACTTATGTTAAAGTTAGATATGGCTGTGGCTGTTAGAAAAAATAATGAAATCGGGAGACAGATTCTGAAATCATTCAAGAAAAAAATCTTTAGTGTTGTCCCATATTTTTATTTAATTAAAATAATTAATCATAAAAATGAAGTGCCTTTAAGCAAATAAAATAATTCTTTCTTTCTTTTTAGAAGTTCTACTTCAAATAAAATAATTCTTGATTTCTTTTTAGAAAAGCTACTTCAAATAAAAATTGTCTCAATCTGAAAACGGCAACATCTTGGTTCGGGTATTGACTGTCAATCAGTGGTGTGTGTTTATTCATGACTTATCAAAAATATCCCCACGATTCCATTCTTTATAGACGTATTATATTTTAAAAGCTGTTGAGGACTGTGTTGTCGTCTGAAGAAAGCGTTCTGTCAATCTTTCGTCATCGTAATACGCTCCAAGTCATTAGAAATTGATTTTCATTCTCGCACAAAGTAGCGAATTATATTTTGAGGAGATTTATTCTTGTCTTTTCGAACAGATGTCGGCTGTTCTGATAAAAATTGAAAAATTGATAATGCCATCAGAATTTCTTTGTCTGCAGCGTTATAAAGGAATAAAAAAAGAGGGAGATTATTTGAATACACGATCGGGTAATTGTATCGACCAATCGAATTGTGTAACACTTGTGTTTATTTAGGTGCTGTGTCTGTGGAATAATTATGCGATGAATAAAATTAATATTGATCAATACGAGTCAATTTCTTTCGCAATAGTTTTTTTTTTTTCATTGTTCCAGAATTGTCATGATAAGGCCGACAAGTTGTTGTGACGTTTTCATCCTTAGTTTTTATGGTCTTCTTGTATTTCAAGAATTTGTGACGTTACTAGCGATGTTTAGTTAATTTAATGATTTTCAGAAATTATTCCTTCAATAAAGCAACTGTTTTATTATTCAACTTTTAAATTCCTGTCTTGGATTTGAAAAAAGTTCATTGTAATTGTTGGAACTTTGTAACTACAAAAATTGTAAAATGGGGTTTAACGTCCTACTTTTATGCTCCAACTGGGTTAATAAAGACGGGCATACGCCATACAGTGTTCTATGAGGGACATTTTGCCCGGACAGCAGCATTTCAGCCTTCTCTTTATCAAATTTAAACTGCGAATTGTTTTTTTATGCTCAATAAAACTGAATCACTTTTAGAGACTGATATTTTTTTTTAGAGATCCAACTTCCAATATTACATGTATATTTTGCAAAGGATACAAATTCCTTCAGGTGATGATCAGCTGCTTTAACTCTGACTGCGTCTGCCAAGTGTTCTTTTATACTGAACAGACAGATATTCCTTTAAACATACATTATGCAAGAGCTAAATATGCCTATTACAGGTCTTTCTTTAGGCCTGAAATGTTATATAAACTATTAATTAGACATTTATTAACATGACAAGACCATAATCAACTCTTAATGCCATCTGATGGCTCCGATTTTAAGTAAATTAGAACGGTTTGGCCATTTAATGATTTAATTGAATTTAAAAATAGAGAAACGAGGCTAAGACTCAATTGACCAGTACGGTGGTTACAATCAATGCACACATCTTGTCAAATCTACAGCCACTGATAACTTCATTCAAAATAAAGTAATCTAAGTGAAATTTTCCATATATTCATTTTGCTTTATCGGATTTTGAAATATTATAGCGAGAAAAGCCTGCTCTTTATCTAAATCTTCTATAAAATAGTTAAACTTCTTGATATTATATTTTGCAAGAGTTTACCAATCTCTCAAATGATTATATCCGAGGCTGTAACGGTGGCCCTGAAAAAAAATTATAAAGAATAAATTTAGTACAGTATTGATTGATTTAGATCTGTGCCTTTTATCCCTTTCACTATTGAAAGCGACTTATGATTCATACGATTCATAGCCCCCCAACTCCTCACATCAAATATTACTATAGTCCTACTTGAATCATAAAGAAACAACGACGCAACACGGTTTACGCCACACATTATAACATAGTATCAATACCGTCCAATGAAATCGACAGTAATCTTGTAAAGATTAATACGCGTCAGTGATTGGTATTATATTAATCGTGCATCATGCGTTACTTGTATTGACGATGTGTACGGTATAAAAGGGTATTAAAGGTGTTTAGTTCATTCTTTCACAGTATTTTTTTATTGATTTTTATGACTCAAAGTAATTTATATTGTTGTAGATAGGAATATGATGGTATGTGTTTGAATGTGGTTGTGGTGTATATACATGTGTTGTACTGGACACAGCGGGAGAGGGGATATATACATGTGTTGTACTGGACACAGCAGGGAGGGGGAGGGGGGATATATACATGTGTTGTACTGGACACAGCGGGAAGGGGGAGGGGGGATATATACATGTGTTGTACTGGATACAGCGGGAAGGGGGAGGGGAGGGGGGATATATACATGTATATACATGTGTTGTACTGGACACAGCAGGGAGGGGGAGGGGGGATATATACATGTGTTGTACTGGACACAGCGGGAAGGGGGAGGGGGGATATATACATGTGTTGTACTGGATACAGCGAGAAGGGGGAGGGGGATATATACATGTATATACATGTGTTGTACTGGACACAGCGGGAAGGGGGAGGGGAGGGGGGATATATACATGTATATACATGTGTTGTACTGGACACAGCAGGGAGGGGGAGGGGGGATATATACATGTGTTGTACTGGACACAGCGGGAAGGGGGAGGGGGGATATATACATGTGTTGTACTGGATACAGCGGGAAGGGGGAGGGGAGGGGGGATATATACATGTATATACATGTGTTGTACTGGACACAGCGGGAAGGGGGAGGGGGGATATATACATGTGTTGTACTGGACACAGCGGGAAGGGGTAGGGGGGATATATACATGTGTTGTACTGGATACAGCGGGAAGGGGGAGGGGGATATATACATGTATATACATGTGTTGTACTGGACACAGCGGGAAGGGGGAGGGGAGGGGGGATATATATACATGTACATGTGTTGTACTGGATACAGAGGGAAGGGGGATATATACATGTATATACATGTGTTTTACAGGGGGGAGGGGGAGGGGGAATTATTACACTAATATTACATGTAAATGAGTTGTTATATTTCGTTTACAACTACATATACATATTACTCATGTATAAACACAGGAGCGGCAAAACAATTACACAAAGTTAAAAAGTTATAAATTTATAATAATCTGTTATAATTATGTACCTGATACATGTGTACATGTACATAGTAAGGGGGTGGGGGGGGAAGGGTAATAACACTTGTTATATTGTAAATTAAAATAAACTCCTATAAATATGTAATTGATACTCATATTGCTCACTCTGATTTCCATGTCTTTTCTGCCAGCTTTTCTGTTAATTTTGAACCAGGAATCGTTTCCATACACTAAATCATCACCTTGTTCTACTTGCCCTTGTGGCAATGCTCGTCATCAAAACATTAGAGCTTCTTCGATTTGAGAAAGATCGACATGAAAAATAAAACTTTAAGGAGCTAAATCGTTAAGAGAGAGAGAAATGGGGTTTAACGTCCACTCGACACAAACTAGGTCATTTCGGGACTAACATATGGTTTAATTTTATTTCAATAATTCGCTTGCGCGTAGGGGTCTTTAGCAGTGGGAGGAAACCGGAGGACCCGGAGAAAACCCACGAGGTTGGACAGGCGACCCTACTCCTTGCCACGTACAACCGGGGATTCGAAACCACGCCAGTTGACTCAATGACAGACTTTATGGTACAGCGCGCGCACGCTAACCATTCAGCCATCCAACCCCCAGCTAAATCGTTAATATTTGGAACCTAGAAATTGACACAAGTGAGTCGCAACACATATAATAATGTAATATGAATGCATATAAACTGATTTACATTCAATCGTTTCCGTTTTTACTCTAATTACTTATCAAACGAATGGCAAACCTCTTTCAAAATGGCTAGTTGGTCAAGAAAGTTCCTTCTGATTTTTCCAGCAAAGTTTCCCAGGCCCGGCAAGGCACAGTGTCTAGCCATTTGGGTGATATGAAAAACTCCTGGCTTGTATATTCAATCGTTAGCTGACTCTGACTTGGTTTTATTTTTAGCAGAGGATGTCGAAGGTTGTGAAATGTTTGAGTTCGATTCACCATATCTCTGAACGTATTTAAAGGTTTTGTGGTTTGATATTCCTTTTATTTTATTTTGTAAGGGATTTCTCACTCCCTGAAATGAAAATTAGATAATTTAATTAATTGATGTTGATTTTGATTTCTCAAATTATGAGCAATTCTTAAACATGTGAGTATAATCAAAAAAATTTTAATCTTTCCTCAAGCCTACAAAAAACCAATGAATTGTTATTAACAAAACTGCATCACAACATTCCTATCCTTTTGTTTGTGATGTGAATTCATTTGAATCATTATTTGACATTTCAAATTCATCATTGAGTTATGCGATTATGCGTCATGCAATTAAGAGATACTCCAGTTTCTAATTAGTCTAAGA